TGAACAGATGCTGAAAGAATTTACCACCATCAGATTTGCTGCACAAGAAATGTTAAAAGAAGATTTTTCAGGCTGTAGGAAAATGATACTGTGTGTGGAAAGTCAGATGTTCATAAAGGAATGAAGAACACTGGAAATGGAAAATATGTGAGTATATGTCTAAAAAGTGGGTTGAGGAGGGGTCCCCAGAGGAGAAGGCCCCACATATGAAATCAGGGCTGAGGGGATTAAAGAAGATACCCAGTACAAGAAAAGAGAGAATCCCTGCTTCCAGGACTGGACCAGGGAGAGTAACAGATGACTTCAACACTCCTTTTGCACCAGAAAGTGAGGAAATAGTCAAAGAAAGGTGGGGACAGTCAAAAGGACTCAGAAGTCAACTTGAAAGCCCACAAAATAATTCTGAGCAGCAGGATGAATGACAGCAATCACCGCCTGTAACTAATGATTAAAATGGGAAACCATGACTTCCTACTGATAGAAATAAATGAATGAATATATTCAAAGTTTATGAGGAACTGGATATTCACTTAGTTCCAAAGTACATCTGCATAAAATACTTACTAATTATGAAGGAGAAAAAGGTGATGTTACAGTAGCCTGGCTGGTGCCCTCTTAATCAAGTGGCCAATGTGAACACCATCAGTGATGGGACAAAGTGACATTGTGTGCCACCTGATACAACAGAATAAAGACATAGCATCACCTCTCTGAACCATATGGGAAAACATCAGGAAAAAAAACGAAAGGAAAATTCTACAAAATATCAGCCTTTAACCTTCAAAACCTTCATGTCAAGGTCATGGAAATCAAGGAAAAACTAAGGAACTGTTCCAGACTGAAAAGACATGAAAATGAAAGGCAGCAGGAGGTCCTACAGTGCATCCTTTGCTCTATGTAAAGGGTATTGCTGGGACAGCTAGCCAAATTTGATTGAGGTTTGAAGATTAGGTGGCAATAATAAATGTACGTTAATTTCCTGATTTTGATGGTGGTATTGTGAGTGTGAAGGAGGCTGCCCCAGTTTGAATGTCCTGCTCTAGGAAATGGGCAAATAATAGAAAGTGTAATTGGACTAAACACTCCAATCAAAAGGCAGAGATTGTCAGACCAGATAAAAAAATCAACCTTCCATTGTGCAGTATACCATAAACACACTTCAAATATTGAGAACTCCTTCAAATATTAGGTTCATTGTTTGTCCTCCCCCAGCAAAATGTAAATCCCACAAAGACAGGGACTTTCATAATAGTCCCCTCTCTCAGCATTCTCAGAACCTAGAACACAGCTTGGCACATAGGAGACACTTAAAAAGCATTTCTTGAATGAATAATTAAATACTGCTCATAGACCATAAGCTGAAGGACAAGGCCCATGTTTCCTACATCACTGTTTCTCCATGGCCAGGCAGGTAGAAAGCCCTTAATAAATATTCATGGAATGAATTAAAGAATTAAGAACTAAATCATTTGCTTTGCCACTATGAGATGAGGCTAATTCACATGGAATTCCTTGCTATAATTTTCAAAGAAATTCAATAAAAAATTAAGTTAAGCTATTATCTATTAAAAATTGTATGGCTCCTGGGCCATGGAGACATACATTTACTAAGTTATCCATTATCTGCTCCCACCTCTTTAAAAAAAAAGAAAGAAAAGAACTATAAATGGAAACATTTTACCATGGTTTTCATTTCTACTAAAGTAGATATCCCAGATATTGATTACCTGATGGTCATGATAATGGCCATGAAACTTCATTACCACTAAAAATGCTGGGCCAGCAAAACCTTGCTTACAGAGGTTTTGGGTTTCTTATAAGATATACCGATAACATGAATTAAAATATCTTGTTAAATATACCCTGCCCTGCTCTTATTCTTGCCATATTTCCATGCACAGGAAAAAAGAATTCACTTTCCTATTCCAATCTAATATAAATTAAACCAATTTTCCTTTTCCATATAAAATAGAATTACTTTTAAAAACTAACATGGGAAGTAATAGCAATCTTTTTTTAAAAAAATCTCTGACTAGCTCTGTAGTTGGGACTACAAAGCTAATACTTCGCTCAAAATGCCACACCCATGCTCATATTTATTAACCCCTTCTTTCTTAAAACATTAATGTAACAAACAACAACAAATGTTGGCGAGGATGTGGAGAAAGGGGAACCCTCCTACACTGCTGGTGGGAATGTAAACTAGTTCAACCATTACGGAAAGCAATATGGAGGTTCCTTAAAAAACTAAAAATAGAAATACCATTTGACCTAGGAATTCCACTCCTAGGAATTTACCCTAAGAATGCAGGAGGCCAGTTTGAAAAAAGATATATGCACCCCTATGTTTATCACAGCACTATTTACAATAGCCAAGAATTGGAAGCAACCTAAGTGTCCATCAGTGATGAATGGATAAGGAAGAGGTGGTACATACACACAATGGAATATTATTCAGCCATAAGATTTGCAACAACACGGATGGAGCTAGAGGGTAGTATGCTCAGTGAAATAAGCCAGGCGGAGAAAGATAAGTATCAAATGATTTCACTCATCTGTGGAGTATGAGAACAAAGAAAAAACTGAAGAAACAAAACAGCAGCAGGATCACAGAACCCAAGAGTGGACTAACAGTTACCAAAGGGTAACAGACTGGGCAGGATGAGTGGGAAGGGAGGGATAAGGGGGAAAAAGGGGCATTATGATTAGCACACATAATATAGTGGGGGGTAGGGACACAGGAAAAGCAGTATATACAGAGAAGACAAGTAGTGACTCTATAGCATCTTACTAACTGATGGACAGTGACTGTAATGGGGTATGTGGCAGGGACTTGATATTAGGGGGAGTCTCGTAACCATAATGTCGTTCAACTGATTGTACATTAATGATATCAAAAAAAATTAATGTAATATTATAGACAACATTTTTAACTTTTTTAGTTGGCTTATTATGGACCTACCAAAAAGGATATAAATCACAAATATGCAGCTCAATGAATTTTCACAAAATGAATAATGAACACAGGTGTGTAACCAGAATCCAAGTCAAGCAAAAGAACACTTTAGCCCAAAACACCACCTGGCCTTGCCTCTCAACCACTATGCCTCCCTCCCTCCCGCAAGATCTTCCCTCTCCTGACCTCAAACATGACAGATAAATCTTTGCCTGCTCTTGCATTTTATATAAATGGCATCACGGCCATATGTACATTTTTGGTACCTGGCTTCTTTCACTCAACATATGTTTTTATAAAGAATTAACTTTTTATCTTAAATTGAAATCATTATTGAATTTGTGTGATAAAATATAATCACATGTTATCCTTGAATTCATTCTCTTTACAAATAACACACATTTTAGCAAAATATAACTTTACCAAACATGACAAAAATCACTAAAAAGGCTAGCTGTTGAGAACCAGAGTAGGGAAATCAGATTTTATTAAAGATAATAAAAGCATTCACACTAGTTCTCAGCAAAGTGATCTGCATTACAGAGGCTTTGTGCCCATTTGGGAACCCTTTTTTCAGATAATTTTTTAATTATATTTTTTCAAGGCTCTGGATATTTCGTTACTCTTTGCTGTTAGATTTGAAGCAGGTTCTATGCAGAGAGAATTACGCATCTGTGTATCACTCGAGTAACATATACACTCTACCGGTCCCTCCCTTTCATTAGGCAGTCACTGATACTGTAGAGTTTTACAGATTACAGGTTTTGCCTAAAGCTACAGTCAGCTCTCTTACCCAGTAATTGGATAAACAGATTTGGCTCAGCTCAGCAAGTCTGTACTTCTGCATGCAAAAGAAGCCCTGAATTGAAATGTAGCCCACTTGGCAGGTCAGGATAAACAGAGCTCCGTGAGGAAGTTTAGAGAATAGCCTTCAAGAACACTTGTGGTCCCATTTCTACATCTTTACTAATTGAATTTTACAGTTTATGGATACATATGCATCCTTATATATATTTTTTTGAAAATCCAAACTATTGACTTGGTTGAAAAGGATTTCTAAAATCTAAATTTCAAAACAATGGCTTAATTAAAAATGAGTATTTTCTAACTTTCTGCATCCAGGTACATACAAAACTTGAAGCTGATTTTCACACCATGATTTTTTGTTGTTGTTTTCAGGATATACTGTTGCTATAAAAGTAGTTATAGGGATGCTAGGACAAGCTGCTATTTAATTTCAAAAGCTCTAAAATCTGAAGTTAATTTGTTCATAGCACACTTGCTCGAGAATAACACTTAAATCTGGAGTATTCTAAATAATAAATTCATGTTTGGTGTGGGTGAGTTTATGACACCATGAAAACCTCTACACTTTTTCATTTCATAAATCTAAGGCTCTAATGGACCAAATACAAGGCTTTGTTTGGCTGCCTTAATTTTCAAAGGAGAGGAAAATTTCGAGTTGCAAAAATAAACTCTGTCCCATGAAACTTTCCATTTCTAGCCCCCAGGGCAGTTGAAGGAGTGAAAATGTGCCCAGATACCCTTTCCTGCCTTTTGCTTTTGGAGGTTCCAGCTAGTGTTACTGATACTGAAATTTAAATACAACTGCTGCCTTAGCACACCAGCCCTTCTGTTAGAAATTGCATTCTGTTACTGTGCTTGAAAAGGGGCTAGTGTCTCACACAGCCCAGCATTGTTAGAAACAGAAAGCTTTTGAAAATGGAGAGTTTACAACAGATTTAAGGTGATTTAATCACCTTCCTTCTCCAATTTTTCCACCAGCCTCTCTCCTCTCAGCATGTCCAAAGGGAGGCCTGGCGAAGGAGGAGCAATGCTTTACAGAAGTGGTGAAGGTATTTGTGGAGTGTTACCTCTGCTTCCCTGTGCAAGCCACTTTCCTGGCTTGGAGAAGAATACTGACCCTCCAGACAGCACTTCAAGTGGAAATCCTGGCTTTCCATTTGCTGGTCAGCTTTATGCAAGTTTTTTAGCCTCTCCAAACCAGTTTCATCACCTATAAAATGGGGGTAATTTTTCTTACCTCACAGGGTCGTTGAGAAGATAATGTACACAAAACCCACAGCAAATGAAAGCCGCTGATAAATGTCAGCTATTATGACTAGAGCCTTTGGAGCAGTAAGATGGTGTGGCCTGGGCTGCTGCTGTCACCAAATCTATTTTCTTGCTCTGGTGCCATACTCCACTGTGAGCTGCTCTCAAGGATGGGGCCATGTGGTTGAATTCTAGCCAACAGAATGTAAAAAGGTATTTGTGTTACTTTCAACTCAAAGCTTTTAAGAATTTAATGCCCCCTCAACCCTGTTTTCCTCCTTTCACCTAGAAGCAAAAGATTACAAACCCTTATGGGATGGAGGGGCTACAGTTGGAAGAAGCCAGGGTCTCAGAATAATTACATGAAGGAATACAGCCACCCTTATACTCCAGCAAATTACAACTTCCCTGGACTGTTCTTTGTACCACTATGTATTTGGTGGTCTATTTGTTACTGTCACCTACCTTGACTAATTAAAATAGCGGTAGAGAGCCAGGAGTCACATTTAAAATACTCTTGGTTTGGTGGTTCCCAAGTTCTCCCTGTAAAACAAATGATAAATTTTCAGTTAATTAAAGGTCTAGCTTAGCATTGTACCTTCATATTTCTGTGCAGTTTCTCTCTTGAGCTGAATTTTCTCCAGTATTTTTCACTCTGCACAGCTCCCAGATAAACATATTCCCCCTTTGTCCTCTGGACCTAATTTTTCTTAACACAGTCAAAACAAGGGGTCATTTCCCTGTGCTTTATTTAAATCCAAAGGGAAAATGAAAGCAAAACAGGGAGTACAATTTTCTCATCCTAACAATCCCAATGAAAGTGCATGTGGATTTTATTCAGCATTGAAAGCCCTACAGATCCTGAACCTGGATTCTTTCCTGTTGGCTCCTGGTCTTGAGTGGCAAGTGCCATCATGCTCGCTCTGCCCTAGAGCAGTCCACCTCAACTTACAGCTCTGTTGAAAGACAAACACTATCTTCTTGCATCCAGTGGAATTCCTGGGTCAGTCCTCCCGACCTCGCTGGCTGGGCACCCAGGACCTGTCTCCACTTTGGAGGCAGACCTCGTTTAGAGTTCATGTGTGATGCAACAGTGATGAAGCTCCTAGAGCCCCTGTCAATGATCGGATGCTCCAATAAAAAGCTTCCCTCGTGTTCTGAGGTATTCTATCCCTGAACTCAGAGATTGCTAATATCACAAATGAAATGTACAGTGTCAATTAGGTTCTGCCTCATGAATGAGTCCACCAAACTCCAGGCACAGCTGAAAATGCCTGCACACTGCAGGTGGGGCACAGCTGCCCAAGCTTCACCTACAATGTGTAGGAATCCAGCAAGGGACCCATCCTTTCTCTCCAGCTCTAGCAAAATTTCAGAACTTCTTGGCTATAAAATAAGAACAATCAGAAGTGGAATTGCTCAATTTGACTACAGGTTAATAACCTAAAGAGTACCAACCATAACATCCAAAATATATAAAGAACTCACATGCCTCAACACCTAAAAAACAAATAACCTGATTTGAAAATGGGTGGAGAATCTGAACAGATACTTCTCCAAAAAAGAAATACATGTGCCAATACACACATGAAAAAATGCTCCATATTGTTAATCATCAGGGAAATGCAAATTAAAACCACAGTGAGGTATCACCTCAAACCAGTTAGGATGGCCAACATCCAAAAGACAAGAAAACAAATGCTGGTGAGGATGTGGAGAAGGGGAACCCTCCTACACTGTTGGTGGGAATGTAAATCAGTTTAACTATTGTGGAAAGCAATATGGAGGTTCCTCAAAAAACTAAAAATAGAAATACCATTTGACCCAAGAATTCCATTCCTAGGAATTTACCATAAGAAAACAAGATCCATGATTCTAAAAGACATATGCACCCCTATGTTTATCACTGTACTATTCACAATAGCCAAGATATGGAAGCAACCTAAGTGTCCATCAGTAGATGAATGGATAAAGAAGATGTGGTACATATACACAATGGAATGTTATTCAGCCATAAAAAGAAAAGAAATTCTACCATTTGCAACAACATGGATGGAGCTAGAGGGTATTATGCTCGATGAAATAGCCAGTCAGAGAAAAACAAGTAACAAACGACTTCCTTCATTTGTAGAGTATAAAAACAAAGCAAAATTGAAGGAACAAAGCAGCAGCAGACTCTCAGACACCAAGAAGGGACTAGTGTTACCAAATGGGAAGGGTTGGGAAGGGTGAGTAGGGAGGGAGGGAGAAGAGGATTAACGGGCACTGTAATTTGCAATCACAATATAGGTAGGTCACAGGGAAGGCAGTACAGCACAGAGAAGACAATGACTCTATAACTTCTTACTATGCCAATAGTGACCGCAATAAAGGGAGTGTGGACTTGATAATATGGGGAATGTTGAAAACACCGTGTTGTTTATGTGAAACCATCATAAGATTGTATATCACTGGTACTTTAATTTAAAAAAATTAAAAAAGAGTACCAACCATTTAACAACCATCCTGTAAATGAAATGTAGGAACCCAAACTGTATAGTATCTCTGTAACATGTTAATAAAGACAATCCTAGATCAGGGTTGCTTTGTTAGTGTAAAACACTTTGGAACAAAAACAATAGCAAAATCTGAGTTTTATTACCCAGGGCAGGTCCTCCTGTCTTTGGTCTTTTAGGTAATAATTAAGAATTCCAAATGCCACACATGGTAGATTCAAACTGCCTCAGGCCAATGTTATGTCTGGGCAAATGATCTGAAGATAGCAGAGAGGACGTAGTCAGATGTGGCCAGGAAATGCAAATCTGAAGGCACGTTTGGATGTATTTAGTAACTGCCCAAGACCTGAAGGCAGATAGGCTTCAGTACATCCCTAGCAATGACAAACTAGGATCACAACCCACGTTGCTAAAAAGAGTAGCTTTACAAAGTCCTATTAACATCCAGGAATCAAAACCCTGAAATCTCATAACCAACAATATGTAGGAAGCCATTATTTGAGGTTTAAGCAACTGCATAGTGTTATTTTAATTATGCATTGCAGGCAAACTGTGATTGTGTCTTTGCTAGTATTTTATTAGAATGCCAAATTCAATTGAATTACATCCCATGGGAAAGATTAGCATGGAGTTTAGCACGGATGTGTGAAAGTGTTGCTGTGCCCAGGCCAACTTTTAAAAGTGGTGTGCTAATTAGCGTGAAAATGGAAGGAGAAGTGTGAGATTCTCAGGTCCAAGAAATTTTGTAGCCATCCTTCTCTTCACTCCACGGTAATCCTGTGTTTGCAAATGGCACAAACGGAACACTAAGCTTGCCAGACATCAACGCTGCACTTTGAGCATTATGAGAGGATAAAAAGGATTTAGGGTAAGGAAATATTTGTTCAGACATCTACTCCTCAGCTTCAAGTGGGGAGGGAATTAAATATTAAACCATACACCTAATGAAAATGTATTTGAATCAAATCTCTTAACCTCCTTCCAAAGGAACTTACCAGTAGCAGACTGAGATCTGTGGATGATAACACCCACATTTTACAGAAGGAAGGGGCAGAAAATTGGGGTCACCTGACTAGCCAAATAGTGGCAGAGAAAGGTCCCAAGTTTCCCAAAAATTAGACTAGTACTCTTCTTTTATGCTATTACAATAGTTTCTAGTTTTAGTTTTCCATTTTGCCTTTTTTTTTTTTGAAACTTGTAATTAAGGGGAAAATTTGGGTATATAATACAGGCAGATGATTACTTTCTTTGGCCAAGTAAAAATAGGACCAAGTAAAGGAGATGGGTAAAAATAGGGAGAGTACTGGTACTCTTTTTTTTTTTTTTCCAGAATAAACAATGCTTATAGGTTACCGGTCTTTGAAAACTAGCTGAGACAGGCCCCTGAGAAAAAGTCTGTGAGCTGCTTTTTCCCTGGCCTTCCAGTTTCTGCAGTAGCTGTTTTTTAGTCCTTGTTGTTATCAGTTTTCACTGGCCGCCCAGATGAAAATTAAAATCAGTTCAAGGCACTTAAAATAGGATTCTCTCCTTCCTGATGATTGGGAAATGGTGGCCAATCTGAATGATACCATCATAATTAAAGTGAGGGGCAGAATCGGCTACCCTGGTGGACAATTGGGCCTTTGTACTCTCCCCTCACATTGACCCCAGGGAAGAGGCTAATTTGGGGGAGGGGACGGTGGAGTTGGGCCAAGGGAAAAGAAACTTTTATGTTTCCAAAAAGAAACGGGATGTGTATTACCGGTCCAGCTCCTCACTCAGCAACTCCCTCCTCGACCCCCAAGCCCCAGCACAGGTGAGGGGTGACACAGCAGGGGGGCGCCCCAGGAGACGCTCGTCGCCACGACTGGGCGTTCTCCCCACTGCTGGTCAGTCGCAAAAGCCTGGTGACCGGGTAAATGGGAGGTACAGGGGGATTCTTGGGGACAGGAGTTGCCAGCGACAGGCAGGCTGCGCTCGGGTTAAGCCAGGCCTATGAAAATATCAAATCGCCTGAGCCCGTGTAGATGCCAGTCGAGCACAAGCAGCCGCTGGTCTTTGAAGCCCAGGGTCATTAAAGCGAAACCTAGCGACTCAGAAGGTCTCCGCGTGACTGTCGCCGGCTCTCTTTTGGACCCAGCCCCCACTTCCCGGCTCCCTCGTCATTTCGCGCCTCCCTCGGACACCCCGCCTCGGCTCTGAGCTCAGCGTGTACGGGGGCCACCCTCTCCCCCACCCAGGCCCTGAGCTGGCGGGGACCCCAAGCCTCCTCTCCCTCGGTTCGGGGACGGGGCGGGAGCTCGCTCTCTCCTCCAACCCCCACCGCCCCCCGGGCTCTGGGCGCCAGAGGTCCCCGCTCTCTACCGGCCTCGCAGCCGGGCCGCGACTCTGCTCTGGGGGCTGGGTCGGCAGGGGGTCCTCTCCCACCCTCTGGCCCAGGTGGCGCCGGCCGCGCAGGGCCCCACCCTCTCCGGCCTGCGGCGTCCTCCGCCCCCCGGGCCCGTCGGCGGCCCGCCCTTCCTCCGCCGCGGGGTCACTCGGGGACAGGCGCCCTGCTCCGCCCGCGCCCCGCGGGAACCCGCCTCGGCGCTGCCTCGGCCCCGCGCGAGCGCACCTGGGCGGAGGGGGCGCCGCGAACCGGCCGGGCGCCCCGGCGGCAGGCGGAGAACCGCGGCGCCCGCGGGCTCCCCGGGCTTTCGGCAGCGCTCCAGGCCCAGAGCGGCGCGGCCCGTGGGCTCCCCTCTCCCGGCGTGTCCGGCGCTGCGCCGCCCGCAGCGCCCCTCCCGCGTCTCAGACTCGGGCCGGAAGCGCCGACGCGGGCCCATAGGGCCCCCCGTCGCCCCAGACGTGAACGCCTCACGGCGGGGGCCCAAGCCCCCAGAACTTTTTCTTTTTTTAAAGTAAATGTTATTGAGCGCTCCCACACCATCCTGAGCAAAAAGCCCGTGCAATTGTTTACATGTAAATTTGGGGCCAGTCTAAAGTACTTAGAAAAGGTGCGCCGTGCACAGCTGGAAGAATGTTCACAAAACTGCATCCCCGTGCAAGCCCGACCAAAACACCGACCGTGAGCAGCACCTCGAGGCCCCCTCAGCTCCTTGCACCCACTACTCCTATCCCCCGCCCAGGCCGACCACTATCCTGATTTCCAACTCCAAGATTAGTTTTCCTGTTTTTATGTCTTGTACCCACTTTTGTGTGAGTGTGGGTGTGCGCCTGGCTTCTTTCATTCAACATCATGCCATCCTGTTATTGCCATCATATTAGTGAGATTCAGCCATATTTTGGGGTAAAAGGTTCTCATTTCTATATAGTATTCCTAGTATGAATATACCACAATTTGTTTATCTGTTCCATTTCCATGGAAATTTGGGTAGCTTCCAGTTCAGTGAACAGAAAGTGCTGGTGTGAGCATTCTAGAAATGTCTTTTGGTGGACACATTTGCATTTATGTGTATATGTACCTAAGAATGAAACTGCTGGATCATAGGAGGCATATGTTCTCCTTTACACTTACAGTCAAAGAGATTTCCAAAGTCTGTTCCCATTTACCCTTCAACAGCAATGCTTGGGATTTCCTGTGGCTCCAAGACCAAGTTTTATTGAGGACCTACTGTGGGGCAGTGAACAGCACACACTGAGCCCCTTCACTCAAGGAGTTCTAGCAATAGAGACAGTATACACATTGACAAACACCTAGACACGCTAATGCCTGATGGTTGTAAGGCTATGCAAACAGTAAAACTTGGCCATGGGATGAGGGAGGGCATTTAGGCAAGGCCTCTACCAGGAGGAGGTGACAGGTGAGTCCAGACGTCAAAGACAAGAAGAAACTATGGATGAAGACAGTTAGGGGCATGAAGGTGCTCCACCTCTTTCCTACCTTTTTCTGCCTCCCAGTTTCCTGAGCTCCCCAGACCTGGGGAGACCCTGCTGCATTCACAGTACTGCTGCTTGCAAGGGAAAATCCCAAGAAAGCCACTGGACAGACCACCCATCTCTGCTGGCCTGTGAACTCCCAACACTTTTCTCCCAGAGTGTTTCCACCTTCGGTTGTATAATTAGTGTTCATTACGCACTCCATCCACATTTTGCCAACTACATTACCACTTGAAAAAAATATTTCTGACTCCCAGTCATTGATGAAGTAGCCTGATGTTAGACACACATGCAGTTCCCACAGAGGAAACAGACAGCAGGGAAACATTAACATGTCCAAGGCCAAAAGCCAAGTCAGGGGAAGATCAAAGCAGCCCTGGACAGTTCACACCCCTTCCAGGCACTGTGCTGAGAGCTTTTACACAGAACCCGTTCAATTCCCACAGCAGACCCTGCAAGTGGGCATCATTCAGTGCATTTAACACATGAGGAAACTGAGGCATGGAGAGATTGCCTAACTCATCTAAAGTTACATAGTTAATTGGAGGTATCCACAAACCCAGAACTGTCTGGTTTTGCAATCAAGTGTCTCAGGTCAGTTCCCTACAAATAGAATCTATAACCAAGATTCTTGTTGAAGCCATTTTTGTAGAAAGTGCTGTCAGAAGAAAAGGAGGGAAGCAGGATACAGCAGATGCAGAAGCTGAGCAAGAATGTGGTCTCATCTGGAGACTGGCTTTGGTCAGTTCCATAGGAACATGAACTGCATTACAGTGCTAGTCTCATTTTGTACCCAGCTGCCAGCCAGTCCTTGGCATTTGTCCAGAGAAGGGAACATGCATGAGCTGGTGACAGCCCAAAACAGCATCAGCTGAGGGATGGGTGCACCAGCCCACCCCAGTGGGCTGGTGGAACCAACAGCATCCACCACACCTGTCGGCAGTCTGTCCTTGCCCCAACCTCACCTGGGACATCCAGGATGTCTAGGAGTCACCATGCTCCAAAACACCTCAGTCCCCCTGGCTCCTATGATCTCTGCACTTCACCTACACCAAGGGGGCTTGAACTTTAAAGCACGAAATGAATTGCCGGAAAGATTTACCAAAACACATCGCTGGACCCCACTCTCAGAAATTCCAAGTCTAAAGGGCTGGATGGGGTCTGACAATTTGCATTTCTAACATGTTCCCAGGTAATGTGATGCTGCTGGTCTGGGGGCCACCTTTGAGATCTACTGCCCTGCAGCATCTTTTCAGGGCATTACATCTCTAAACTAGTCAATGATCCCTCATTTTAACCAGGTTCTCCATGAGCAATATATCTCCCCAACTAGTTATTCTAATGGTGGAACTGTAAAAGTCTGTGGCAGTTAGTTTGAATATGCAAATCTTCATCGTACCCTCTTCATGACCCCCAAAGCATTCAGTCCATTCAAAAAGAGAATTAAGAATTCTAGATTGACTTGATGCAAAATATTGGATTAGTGTACATTTTGCCCTTAGGCCCCCAGATTCCCTTTCTGCCTTCTGTATCTCCTCCTTATTCCAGCTAAAGGCCCCAGAACATTTTATGCTGAAGCTGGCTCATACCTGCTCACAACAGCTGATTTCAGCCCATCTCCTTCCAACTAGCATGGAAATCCGCAAGTGCTAAATAAACAAGGTATTAAACTTAATGCACACCACTGTACCTCTCCTCCCCACTCTTAAAAACAGATTTTTAAATTCACACAATGTATAGCTGACAATGAAACTTAATATTTTTATGTGCCAAACACACACCTGTTATGTGCCATGTTATGCTGAGTGACCTCTCTTAAGTCTCAAAATAACCTACTGAGGTGTTTTAATCCTGAGACTAAAGAAGAAAAACTGAGACTCTCACAAGTTATCTGACTTGCTCAAGTTCACAGAAACAGTTAGAGACAGTCCCTGCTTACCAGCCCACATCCACTAAACCCCCAAATCTTCCTACTATTGTATTCCTACTCACACTTTGAAAGACGACCAAGTCTTAAACCAAAAACATGATTCTTTCATGCAACAGTTTGTTAACATTTTGGTCTCAAGATCTCTTAACACTCAAAAAATGTTGAGGACCACAAGAGCTTTGGTTCTGTGGATTATGTCTAGCAATACTTAGAGTATAAAAATTGAACCTTAAGACTTTTAAAATTACTTCATTAAAAACAGCTAAGGCAAACCACTACCTGTTAATCTTAATAACACATTTTTATGAAAAATAACTATATTTTCCCAAAGAAGAAAGTATTTAGGGAGAAGAATATCATTATTTTACATTTCATACATTTCTTTAATATCTAGCTCAGTAGAAGAAAGCTGGAGTCTCATAACTGCTTCAGCATCCAATCTGCTACATTATGTTGTTAAGGTTGAAGAACATGAAAAAATTCAGCCTCAATCAGATCAGAAACAGGAGGAAGGACCTCATGGACCCCTGGAAATGTTCTCAGATACCCCCATGGGTCTTTGAACCATTTTGAGGACTGCTGATCTAATTATTAAATTTCAGGCTCAAATCAGACATGAGGAAACAATGGGCTTCAAACCCTTAGTCCATTGTAAGTAAGACTATTTTAAAATTTGATTAATCCAATGAGCTAAATGGCAATTCTATAAAGTAAGCATAAAAGTTATATTGTGGCATTTGAATTATTCTCTCTTTCTCTGTACCTTCCTCTGTCTTTTAAAACCTCAGGCACTACCAGCCCACTGAGTTTCTAAACCTCAACAATGGATTTTGCAACATCATTTATCCAAGAAATGTTTATTAAGCATCTACTATGTAGCAGGCACCACGAAAGACACTGGAGATGTAATAGCATGAAAAACATTTAAGTCACTGCCCTTATGGGCTTACAATTTAGTGAGGGAGGCTGGGCCCAGTATGGGAACAGAGAAGTTCATGGTGCCATAGAGGATCCTGGGAGAACTTCTACAGAGTCAGGGACTCTCCTGCAGGCACACTGGGTATTAACTCAGCAGACATGGGATGGGAACGGGGAACTCAGCAAGAAAAGCTGTAAATGTGTGAACTCGTACCACAGAAATGAGGCCCAGAGGTCACATCCTGGATTTAGGTGTTTCTCCTAAAAGAAACAAAAAGCTAAGTGGGAAGGGATGTGTTATCAGAAGAGTTAGACTAATCTAGACAAAACAAAGCAAAGTTTCAGCTCGCCTGGGTGAGGGGAGGTGAAGACAAGTTCTTGGATGTTGTCTCGGAAGGGACCCATTGCCGGGCTGGAGCAGCGGGTGTCAGGGGAGCCTCCCACTTTGCTGCCAACACCTTTTGAATACCTCCTGCATGCCCGCCAGGCTTTGAAGGCACAGCAGAATAGGAATTAGGATTGGTCTTAATTGGAGCAACAGAAGAATACAAGACAAATGTTTTCTTCCTCTGTATCTTCTTTCATTGAAAAGTCTAGACCTGAAGCTCAGGACTCTACTCCATAAAATCCTCAGGATTCAAGGTTCTTGGCCCTTATTGCTCCTCTAGGCAGGGCCTCCATTCCCAAGGTCCCCCAAGAAGGCTTCCCCAGCTCTGGCAATTGCACTATATTGGCACTGTACTTGAAACCAGCAGTAAGAGGAGAAGAATGAAAAATAAGGGACAAAAAAACATAAGGAAGCTTCCCCAAAGCAACCTCACACCACTTGTGTTTATATTCTTTTTTCAGTTTAGTCACCTGACCCAGAGAAGCTGTAAGGGATGCTGGGAAACATATCTTTTATTCTGGACAGCTGTGTGTGTAGCTAGAAATTCCATTGCTTGCAATAAATGGAAAAGGATATTGAGGGACAACCCACATTTCCACAAACACGCAATTAGACGCAGGGGTTGCACTTTCAAAGGATTCCAACATTTGAGGTCAATCTTTTTCATCTTTCAAATCTCAGTTTCCTCATCTGCCAAATGGAGGGTTCCTATCAGGTGACTTCTGTAATTTCTTCCGGCTCTAGAGAACTATGAGTCTATGGACACTTCTCATACAATGAGGGCTTTATAACTGTTCAGTTGTCTAATGTATTGATTATATTTTATTTGTTACAAATGAATACATTTTGCTAAAGAGACATATGATTCTCTCCTGCAATGATTTTCTTTGGTAAGACTGGATTGACTGGAATCCGTCAAATGTGATGTTTTGCTGGCTCTTTATGTATTTGCTGCATTTTTTGTGGAAAATGAAATATCAGAACAATAAAAATTGTAAACTTCTTATGGTTGATTGAATTAACCGTGTGGTCTGACAAGTGTTAGGAATAAATATCACTTCTTTCAAGGAAACATTAAAAACAAACAGTTCTTTAATTAAAATAATCATTATAAGCCTTTTTTAATGATGAGTAGAACAATCAGGAATTATTCAACATTAAGATTACTCCACACTAAATCTGATTTTAGACAGCTGGGGGAAAGGAACAGGCTGCCTATTCTGATTTTGCTTGTCTGTTTATTGTAATAGTGTTTATTATTCAGTGTTGTTTAGGTCAAATCCAGTATTTGGCTGAATTTCTTTATGTAATGGTAGAAGATAACCCATAAAAGTATTGGTTACCCACAGGAAAAGAACTTAGATTTATAATTTGCCATGGTTATACCACAAAGTAGATAATTTCTACTGCAGGTTACCCAATACTGACTTTTGTCTCTCGACTCTTCATAAATCAAGCTAAGCCACAGGAAAATGGCCAAATGATAACTTTGACTCTAACTACACTTTCCTATTTAATTAATTGAATTAGAATTGCAGCACAGTGACATTTCTCACTTCATTAAGATGCAAAACTGTCCTCATTGATTTACTGCAATTGAATAGTTCAGAGAACTATTGGCGTGAAATGGGATTCTACCTGTTTTCCATTAATTATTAGTAAATTCTGTTAAAGACCTCTTACAGAATATTAAAGAGAAGGCACTGAAAATATAAATTTTATAAAAGCACTGTTTAAGTGATGAAACATATTTCTTGGTAAGTTCAGTGACAAATTTAGCAAATAAGATGCCTGTTCTTTAGAGGTATTTCTTCCTCACCTAAGGGTAATTTGAAAATTAGCAACCAATTTTAAAATTTACCTTCCCTCATTGATTTTCAACCTAAAATTCAGGCACAAAGCTTTAGTACCAATGTTTGTGTGTGTGTATATATACATAAACAGAGATGTAAATATT